TCATTAAGGACTTCGCTAAGATCTCGCGACCACTCGACCGGCTCACAGGGAACGACCCATGGCATTGGGGCGAAGAGGAGCAGCACGCCTTCGACGAGCTCAAGCGACTCTTCGCGACGACTCCAGTCCTAGCACTGTACGATCCTAATCGGGAGACGCGCATCGAGGTTGACGCCTCGGGCTACGCCACTGGTGGCGTGTTGATGCAGAAGCAGGATGACGGCAAATGGCATCCCATCGCCTTCAGATCCCATGCGATGGATCCGGCCCAGCGGAACTACGAGATCTACGACCAGGAGATGCTTGCCATCATTGAGGCGCTAGACGATTGGCGCCACTACCTCGAAGGGTTGCCCAATCAGTTCGAGATCGTTACCGATCACAAGAACCTCGAGTACTGGCGTACATCTCAGCATCTCACGCGTCGTCAAGCGCGATGGTCGCTCTTCCTGGCTCGCTTTGACTTCCGCATCACGCACAAGGCCGGAACGTCGAATGGAAAGGCTGATGCTCTGTCGCGACGATCGGACCATCAGATCGGCGATGAGGACGATAACACCGATCAGGTAGTTCTCAAGCCGGAGCGTTTCCGCATCGCCTCCGCCAGACGCGGCCATGCCTCGGTGACGGCCGATCAGTCGCTTCTGAAGCGCATTCGGGAGTGTTCGGAAAAGGATCGGGAGGTGGCCGAGGCACTTGAAAAAGTACAGGACCTCGGGCCGCCCCGGCTTCAAAGGGGCTTTGAGGAGTGGAATGCCGAACAAGGGCTCCTGCTGTTCCGCGGGTGCGTGTACGTCCCAAAGAACGCGGAGCTCCGGCGGGATATCGTTAAGATCCACCACGACTCGCCGATCGCTGGTCATGGTGGTCGTGCCAAAACCCTGGAGCTCGTGTTGCGGAATTACTGGTGGCCTGGGATGTCCAAATTCGTCAATGAGTACGTAAACACCTGCGACGTGTGCAACCGTACCAAGACATTCCTAGCCAAGCCTCAGGGTCCGCTGAAGCCGAACGAGATCCCCGAGCGCCCGTGGCAGATCATCACCACGGATATGATCATTGGCTTACCGAAGTCTGATGGATTCGACTCGATCCTGGTTACCGCCGACCGCTTTACCAAGCAGGTCCACTTCTCGGCCTGTCATGAGACCCTGACGGCAGAAGGTGCGGCAGACCTGTACATCCGCGATGTGTTCAAGCATCATGGGGCCCCGGCCAAGGTCATATCAGACCGAGGACCCCAGTTTGCTTCGAAGTATCTCCATGCGGTGTACAAGGGACTGGGAATCGAGCCGGCGCTGTCCACAGCATTCCACCCTCAGACAGACGGCCAGACTGAGCGCTGGAATCAGGAGATCGAACAGTACCTGCGCGCCTTCACAAGCCATAGGCAGGATGATTGGGCAAAGCAATTGCCGCTCGCGGAATTCGCTATGAACAACCGAGTTCACTCCGCGACCGGGCACTCCCCTTTCTTCCTGCATCAAGGGTACAATCCTGAGATCCAAGTACGGATCAATCCGATGTCTGCGATGCCTGCGGCCGCTGATCGGCTCAAGATCCTGAAGGAGATTCGCGACGATACGCGCTCTGCGCTCGAGCTGTCGGCCGAGTGCATGAAGGTGTACTACGACAAGCACGTGCAGGAGGCACCGGTCTTCGCGCCGGGGGACAATGTCTGGCTTGACGCTCGGAACCTTAGGCTGAAACAGCCGAGCAAGAAGCTCAGTCCCAAGCGCCTCGGACCTTATGCCGTGCGGCGAAAGCTCGGAGACCTGGATTACGAATTAATCCTGCCGAAGTCGGTGCCGGTACACCCGGTGTTCCATGTCTCCTTGCTTAGCAAGTACACGCGTAGCGATATCCCGGGCCGGGAGCCGGAGGAACCGCCTGCGATCGAGGTTGAGGGCGACGAGAAGTACGAGGTTGAGCGGATCAAGGATTCGAGGATCTTCCGGCGTCAGCTGCAGTACCTCGTCAAGTGGAAGGGTTATGACGACTCGCATACGTCATGGGAACCGGCGCGCAACGTTGCCAATGCACCGGCCCTCATAGCCGACTTCCACCAGAAGAATCCAAACGCCCCTCGTCGACTCAACGCTGCTACCTTTGGTGGTCTCAACTTTCAGCCAATGCCTTCGCCGCTGACTGAAGCACGTTGCCGCTCCGGATGGGAGATGGGCAAGGGCGCCTCGCATGAGGTCATGCGCCGTTGAGGGGGGGGTAATGTCACGAGTTGGTACGGCGTCTAGCCGTTTTTTAATTTTTCCTTTTTGCGGGCTCGAACCCGCGACCTCTGTACTACCTGCCTGATATGGACGCGTCACTATCTACTGTACGATTAGATTAGATAGGGCGGCAGCGCACGGCACAGCT